TCCTGCTCATTCCTGCTGGGCTCTTGTAGACCAGACATGCCTTTGAGGGAGTCATGACCCTCAGCTCCTATTCAGCTGCTGTCTTTGACTACCTAAGGGGCAGCACAAGAGAAGACTGAGTCAGAATCTTCCCAGAGGTGCTCAGTGACAGGAGGGGAAGCAATGGACACAAGCTGCAACACAAGAAATTCTGACTGAGTATGAGGAAAAATTCTTCCACCGTAAGGTTGGTCAAAGATTGGACCAGGTTACCCAGGTCTCCTGAGGGTGAATCCTCCACCCTCAGAGATATTTTTAAACCTCAACCAGATATAGGCCTCAGGCAAGATGATCTAACTGGATGTGACCTGAGCAGGGGCTGGACTAAATGGCATCCCTTCCAACCTTCATTACTTTATAATGCTACAACCCGGAAACAAACAGCTCTTCAGGAGCTTCAGTTGATCAAAATGATCTCATTTGTTCAAGACAGAACTTCCCAACTTGGATATGACAATGCTTAAATACTGGGTAAAATAAGGTTTTTTTAGGAGAAGACTCATCTCTTAGGCAAATGTATTCACACATTACATCTGTACAGGGTTTCCATCAAGGGTAGCTGAAACACTGTAAATATCAGTAAGGATAATGATATCCATTATCAGAAAGTACAGGCACATCTTCCAGCTTTTCTTTATTCAAGTTCCAAACTGTTTACAGCTGTTGATAAAATAGAGGGATTATTTTCTCTAGCTTATGCCATGTTATTGCAGTTATACATTTGGCTGATTCTGAGACACTGCAGTGGCTCATACAGTCAGCATGGAGTGCAGGAAGAGAACTCCAGGTACTTTTACACTACACATAACCCCAAAAACTGAATACACGAGGACTTTTCCCCAAGAGAACGTAATCCATGTGATACAAATCTACCCATGCTTCACTACAGGGCTACCTTTCCTTTACCTTTACTGTTTATCAGAGCAGATATGATGAAGAAAAGTAGATTTGTACCAGCATACCTGCCACATAGAAAAGCAAATTTCTGCCTTGCCTCAAGGTTAATATTCAGTAATCTTTATGAGTCTGCAGTTTCTGCATCGTTAACACATTCTTCTGTGACTGCCTTTCCTTTTTCTATTTGGGTTTTAACAAGTGAAAAGGATTTTTTTAAGAAAATTAAAATATATTGAATCCATTCTTTATGGAATGACTCACTGAAAAGGGGAGAATAACGTCATCTAATTATAGCTGCCAGGGTTTTTACCTCCTACTAAGTATACTAATACACTTGCACTAATTGCAACTTTTCCCCTCCTCCTCTAAATTTTCAATTCTCAGACTGCTTCCCTATGGAAACTCATTACAAGACTCTTTTCCCCAGTGCAAATGCCAGGAGCTCTGAGGACTTCAGAATTCTTCCTCCAGACCCTGCCATTTTCCAACCTCAAAGCTTGTTTGAAAGAACAGTATCATACCTAGCTTAATTTAAGGAAGCATCCATTGTAAGAAGAGAGAACATATTTCATTAGACTGACCAATGTAGCTGGAAAAAGGACAGATTCCTCAGCTGAAAGGGGCCAGACAGAAAAAAACCTTGCTCAATGATGGACCACCAAAATTCAGCGCAATGTGAGAATGACTGGAAATCAGTGATTTGATACAAAGTAAGCTGCAAGGAAATCCCTGCAAGGCTAACACAGTAATGGATCCTCTCAAGCTCAGCGACTGGCAAACCTCAATTCATGCAGAAGTCACCGAGCAGAGAAGAGAGTATTACAGCTGTCTGAACACACAAAACATGATCTTGCACCTCAATTTACATCCACAGGAGAATATATAGCATATTCATTTACTGGTATGAATTTTACCAGTCCTGAAGCTTTCTTGGGTGGTGGTCTTTGGGGTTGTTGTTTTGGGGTTTCTTTTTTTTTTTTTAATTATTATTTCTTTTGATTTTGTTTTGTGATTTTTTTTTCTAGAGTACAGAGAAAGGAAGCTGCTCAGATAGAGGTTTGAGGATGAAAGACACAGAACAACCTCTGGTTTCAGCTCAGCAACCTCTGCATCCCCAGCTGGTGGAAAAGCAAACAGCAAGTGCAGAGCCCTTCCTCCCCCAGTCACCACTTGTGCCAGGCAAAGCAGAGAAAGGAAAAAAAGATATCAAAAGGGCAGCAACAAATGTTCCTCTATGGATGAGAGCTAGCCACTGCTGCTGGTTTGGACTTTGTTAGTCCAGGTTATAAAAGCAGGGCCTGAACGCAGAGGTGTGTATTCAGCAGCTCTCCAGAAGATCATCAGAAAGATGCTCTTTCTTAGAACATTTACTCCATGTGCTTCCAAGACACTATTCCCCACTATTCTGTAGAAGACATCTGAGACAGTCATAAAAAGTCAAAGTCTAAAAGAATTAGGCATTTCTTCGTATCATTGCCATTTCAGTGTTATTTACTTCCCACAGTACCATGCCCACTCCTCTTCACCCCCAAAAATCTAAGCAAAAAAACACCCCTCTATCATCAGTGCTTCACCATGTATTGAAGCAAATTATTATTCCCTCACAAAAATCACAATCAGAGAATTCATTAGTCTATTCCCTTACCACCTACCACTTCTCACATTAAATGGAGAATATCTGTGATCTTAAGCAATTGCCTTTCTAAAGCACAGAGTGAAAATTTGCTAGTAGAATAGTCCTTCACCACAGGCCTTTCCTTCCTTCCTTCCTCCCACCCGCCCACCAACAACCTTTAAGGGAAACAGTTATAGCTCGCTGAAAACAGAGGGAAACACCTCACATTCAGTAAATAGAGATCATGCACATGCACTTGGTACACATATCTGAGCCCCAGGTGATCTCGCCCTGTTACTGTGACAAACTAAACCATTCTCATTAGAGAAATGCCAGCAAAATTTGTCAAATGACTACTCCTAAAAGTCAAAGCATGCTAGAATTCTCTGGAAGAGAAAATGCTAACCTGCCTCTAGGTGAGGCCATCCAGCTGCCCTGCCCTGGAAAAAAGCAGAAGCTGTCAAAGGATTTGGCAACTACAAAAACATGGCACTCAGATGTATCCACAGTTCTGGCAATGTTACAGTTAATTTAACCTCCTCAAACTGTACCCGCTGTGCTCACACAATTATTTCTTCCCCTTCAGCTTGAACTACTTGTAGCTCTTAAATTTCCCATCCTGCAGAGGAGGGGCGGGAAGCAACATATTGCAGTCCCCAATGCCAAACTGTGTTGGGTGTAGATTGTATGACTGAAAAAGACTTGTCACCATGATCAGACGATACAAGTTTTACATACTCTTCATCAAAGCCAGCACTTAATTACCTTGACTGACATAACCTTATGTGTGCTATATCTTGGAAACGCTGTCTCCTAAAAAGGATGACACCAAAATCCAAGTCTCAGGATCAGGACAGAACAAACCCTTCTGCTGCCTTGCTAATGACCTTTTTTTAAAAAAAACCCAAACTCCCCTGTACAATAAGCCTATCCATGCTAAATTAATCTGAAGTTCTAAATAATCAGAAGGAAAGTTAGAGGACTTTGCACTCTTGCAACAGCAAATCTGGTTCAGCTAACTTTTCAAATGAATCGAGAATCCAGAGCCAACCAACTATGCATTAGTCACTTGGCTAGCAAGGAGGACTTACACTAATGAACACAGAACTTCATTAAAATGTAATTTTAAGTTTAGCAATATACCAGGATGATTTATTATAAGAGGAAAGGGACAGGATTGAAACCTCAGACTCAGTTTCTTGCTACTTATCACGAATAAATTAAGATAAATTAAAAATCAATACAAGAGGGTAATGTGAGACAAATGCTAATGTCCATGAAGGAGAATCTGTTAGACCCATCATCCTTGTGCTGCCAGGAACATCACTAATTCTGCACTACACGAGAGGACAGAGACAAGCTGATCTACCCAGCAGAGCCAAAATTTTCATCAGCTCCCCCTTTGCAATTGATTCCTATTCCCTCATGCACAAACCACCATCATCTTATGCAGACAGGACTAGTACCAACTTGGCATTATAGTGAGGGAACCCATCGCAGAGCTACTAGAGCTCTTTACTTCTGTCATTAAAAATGACCTCAATGTGAATGGGAACACTTTTCTATTTCATTTTACACATCATATCCTAGATTATTTGCAAGGTAACCGATGACTTTAGTAATCTTGGTCAGTCAAAATCCAAATCATATTGGCCTCAGGTGGAAAGCTGAAAATGAATGCAAAGGATCCAGTATGTGACACAAGCCACACCCCATGCAAGAGAAGCATTTCCATTCTTCAAACTTGACCTCAGCAATGCTTGTTGAAGTTGTGCAAAAATCAGGATGAAAATAGTACACAAAGCTCTTGGACAAAAAAAAAAACCAAAACATTTTCCTCACAGGTGCTTAGCCTAAAGTTAAATTTTGACAAATTTATGACACAGCTGTACTTACTACAAGGAGGAAGGAAAACTGGTACCATGCAGCTGAGAGATTCCTTCTTCCATATGACCTGCTATCTAGGTACCTCTCATATGCAAAATGCAGAAATTTCACTATCATGGCAACTCAGAAGATGTTCATGAAAATGACTTGCCACGTGTTGTTTAAACTAGATTCATACCTTTGTGGGTTTTAATTGCACTAGGTAGGGAGACTATCTTTAAAAAAAATCACATTGTTTTTACATTCAGAAATATCAATGCTCTTTCAGTTCAGTGGCATGTTTCTCATAAGCAATGTATGCTTATTCTTCTATCAAAAAGCCAGCTGCAAATATCTAATCTTGAAAGCATTTAATAGAATTAAGCATGTATTTAATTAAAAAAAAAAAATCAAGTGTTTTTCCCTCATCAGTAACTCTCCACCCATTGACTTCATCCTTAAAGCCTAACTTGTTACTCCTTCAATGTAGGTAACTATCCTTGTATGCATACATAAAGATGAGACTCCACTGCACCTTCTTTCCAACTATGTCACAGCAACTTAAAAATCTAATACATATTCCTTTAAAGAAATTTGAGTGAATTTATTGTATAAAACTATGATTGGCATGGTACAGAAAAGTTCCTTTTAATGCACATTTCCCATTAACTTGTACACAAATATTACAAGTATCAAGCAAAATGCAAAAGTCTTAAGAACTAATTTCATACTACAAAAGTGTTCACATAGTGAAGTTACTCTGGTTACAAAATGTCATGGAAATAAAAGCACTTCAAAATACGTATTTGGGAAATGTCTCGAATAATCAACGCAACTTTAAGTTAGTTAAAAAATGCAAAGAAAGAGATACCCTCTTCAAAACACTATTTCATTTGGCAAGATGGAGCAAAGTTCAGATCAGTTCATTATTGAAGGATTGCTCTTTAGAAGAAAGAAAAACAAACAAACAAAAAAAACCACCCTTCAGTTAAGAAAAGACTTAATTTAATTACACCATGATGACAAATAACGCCATCAAAAAGTTATCTGGTTCTCTTGTTTTCACACAGGAGCTGTCAGAGGCAGAGATGTGTAAATGAACACTTCCAGCTGTATATAGATTGCCTTTTCAAAAACCAACCAAACAAAAACCAACCAAACAACCAAAAAAACCCCAAAAAAACCAAAACCCCAAAACAACAGAAAGGAGACAATCTGAACTTTGTTGTTTTCATTTAACTAGTTCAGTTCCTTAGGTCACAAGACCCAAGAATACCAGTCTGCAAAGGACACAAATTTAAAGAACAAAATGGAACTTCCACTACGACAGAATGCGTAGATGTCCAGTTACACGACTGCCACACGTCCTCTCAGTAAGGCTGTTAGAGGCTACCAGACCTCCTATTCCCAATAACCTTGAAGACCTGCTATTCTGAAGAAGAAAAAATGTTTGGACCCTACAAACAACCTTACAAAAAGGAGGCACAGTCGTACTGTTAGAAAATAACACAAAGTCTTGAAGCCTGAAGGCATCCTTAAAAACTCACACAAAATAACTACAAAATAAGCAATACTTTACATTATTTTTGTATCAGATGACTTGCCTGTGTTTGAGCAATTGAACATTGCTATGTATATCTACATGAAATCACACATACAGAACATTGTGTTCAGCCATTATTGTTGTTTTCCTTTTATACACACACAAGTTACTATCAGGTTATCCAGTCTATTCAAACTCAGTGAAAAACAGTCCACGGCACGTGTAAAAGGAGCAGTATCCAATACAGTGTTGTCTTGCAAAAATGGAGTCAGAATTCCTGAGTCTCAGAGACATTGCTGTCCTCCTCCATTACTGGATTATTTATTTTCCAAGGAGAATCTCTAGTTTTCATTTCTTCACTCTGATGAAATTTGTAATAGATTGCGTCTTTTAAAAAATGTAAAACTTGTACAAAAAACGTGCCAACCAAAGCGAATTTTTAAAGCTTTTTAAAGGGAGGGGAGATTCACTTACAAAATAAAGGCCACCTTCTTGTAAAATTAGTACTGCCAGTATCCCATCATTCTGTTTAAAGGAGAGATTTAGCTCTCTGTTCTGGAAATCTTACTACCTGTAGTCATGCGAGCTGAAAAACTCCATCCTTTTAGCAATTAAAAATACTATAAATAGGACTAACGTGGAACAGCCCTTTGTTACAATCACCAAGGTGGCAAAACCAATGAAGTCTCCTTCAAATAGTCACTGCAATCTAACTTCTGCATTTTCCCTTGTACTTTGCATATTACACAGTGTAACTTAAAATGTAATTTAAGAGCACTTCAGTCCCACAATGTAGGATTTAAGCTTGTGTGAATACATAATGGCTCTGCAATATTTGTAATGCCTTAGAAAAATACATTCAACCAAAACTTTATATAGGATTCTATTTTTTTAAATCAAAATGAAGAAAAAGCCAAATGGTCCCATCATTAGCTAAATAATACACTCCAACTTCTGGAAGCAATTCCAAATCAAAAGCACATTCAAGAATAACACACTGAATTGCACACCTTCTCATTCATCTTTATCAGTAATCAAATTCTACTGCATATAGTTATTCAGCCTTATAAATAATGCTAAGCAGAAAAATATTTACCTCTGTGCTACCTTTCTCAGTTTATAGAAGCATTTCTCAGTTTATAGGAGCAAAGGAAAAAAAAACTAAAGTGCAGGCTACAGGCCATGACAGGCATAATAAATGACCAAAGGTGCAGCCAAATTTGCATTTACATCTTAAGTTACTTTGCCATCTTCCTTTTCTTGCTAGAAGTCACCCCTGTGCAATTGAAAAGCTGGTCAGTTGATTTGTGCCACAGTACAACCTGTAATCACTTGCAATTTTTTAAAAAAATCTATTTCAATTGTCCATAGATATTTCTAGGTGATAGCTCAGGTTCACAAAACCTTACTTAATTATTAATACTTGAAATCACACAATATTGACACCTCCTCCAGCGAATGCTACTGTCCTTTTGCTGCAGTATGTGGTTGAACCAGTGAGGCTTGGCTGACTGTCTTTAACAAGCGATGTCTTCATTTCCATTTCACACGCTACAATAGCTGCATTCAGTTCCACTTGAGCTCGGTGAACGACATAAAACATGAGTCCTATGCTTATGACAATCTGTAAATAAAACAAGAGTGTTGTAGGCTATATAGGCTGCAGGCATGAATACAAAGCAACTGATCTGAACAAAATAGTAAGTTGTCAATGCAAAGATTCACGAAGGCATCTGTGGGCTCAATGCTTTGCTGGCAAGACATTAGAAGGGAGATGAACTTAACCAGTGAGCAGCTCTAAACCTACATATGCTGGCAGGGTAACCAGCATATCAGAACATAGACATTACATAGAACTTAAATATTTATAGGAATTGGAAAGATAGTTTCTTTCTTTCTGTTGACATCTGTACACTTATTATAAAGCAATTCTTCCACTTCCTCTCTTGGAAATAAGGCTTCCACAAAGAAATGACATGGTGTGCTTCTGTAAGTCAAAGAGGCTGCGTTCCACGTACCAAGGGAATAACAGGTTTAGATTCTACTGGGCACCTGCAACTTGCAAAACAGCACAGCACAGCCAGAGAATGATGCAGACCAAAGGAAACAAAACTTATCCTTGCCCCTCTGGTGCGGAATGCAGCAGAGAGGACCAGTTTATCAGGACTAAACAGAGTTTACTAGTGACTTACAGCAGTCTTTAAGGGAAGAACTTGGTTTCTGGAGGATGGCTCAGGGAAGAGACAGGATGTCAACAGTGTGGGGTTTTTTCATTTGTTTAAGGAGGAAATACTGTCAAAAACTAGGGGTTTAGTTCAGACTTTTGCTCTAAGTTATATCACTAAGAATTCCTAAACTTTCAGCACAAAAATCATCAGAAATAAACCTGGACAATTTTTGCTTAAAAATTACTCATGCAGTGACATTGGCATGCACTGCACTTCTCAGAAGCATATTTTGATTTCGATAAAACACCAGTCAAGTTTTTTAGCTGAGATCCTACTTAATAAAAATTATAAAATCTTCAAATAAAAATCAAGCTGTCTCACACTAAGAGTCCCTTTGAAAGAAGTAAATTATCTGTCTTTTTTTAAGAATGTTTTATGAAACTAGCTGGAAGTCGCAACCTCCTTTCAAAAAAAACAAGGATATTATATTGCTGTTATATTGCTTATAACAGAACCTAAAGTTCTGAGTCCAAAATCTGAACTTCGTTACTAATTGGCAGAGGTATGTTTTCTTTAGCATTGAGGACTATTGCTTAAAACATCTGCCAGCATGGCATACAAGATGCTAAAATATCACTGAGACGACTGGCAAGTATGGTCACAACATAACTGCAGGGGGAAGGCATCCTGACAGTCTCTAGCCCAACCTGCTGCTCAGGGCTGGCAGCAAGATCAGAACAGTTTGCTCAGGACTTTTGTGCAGTCAGGTCTTGAAAACTTCCAAGGATAGAGATTTCACCATCTCTCCAGGCAATCTGTTTCTCCACTGCTTGACTATCCTTGTGGTGAAAAAGATGTCTTTCACTAATTCAAGTTATACATTTCAAAAGATGGCCAACATAAGAGTCAAAATGAGACTATGGACACCAAGTTCTGAATATATAGGAAAAATCCTATTCTAAAAGCTTGCTCAAATATTTAAATTTGATTGGTTTTAGAAACAGTACTACCAGAAACCTAGTTCTCTAGATGAATATTTAAAATATATATATTTATACACAGACAACCATGAAATGTGAGGAATTTTCAGAGCTATTCACTAAATCAAAGTCCAATCAAAGCTCAGCCTGGCAAAGCACCAGGTCTGAGAGACAGTGGGAGAACACAAATAATTGCTCCACTAAAGGCCTCCCCTTCACTTATTCAGTCAGATCCTAAGGATTGCTCTCAAGGAGGTCAGTACTCCTATTCAAACTTTCAGACTATCCAGCTAGCACTTACCTGAGCAACAGTTATGTTACAACCTATATAATCTGCAGAGTCAATGTCATTAAAAAAAAAAAAAGGAAAAAAAAGGAAAATACCACTAAAAACTACTACCCTGGAAATAACATTTCATGACTAAAATGATAGCTGATCAAATAACCATTTATTTTCTCTTTGATGTATCAAGGCTATTAACCCCATATTTAGAAAGGCATTTTTAATACTCATAACCCTGTTCTATGAAGCCTATAAATCGTATGTTCTATTTAAGAGCACACAAGTATCAGGGGAAAGGGGAAGTTACGTTTAAAAGGGTCCTAGACATAGTTTTCTGTTAGCATTGTTAAACATCAGCTTTATAAATGTAAAAACTGAGGAATGTAAATGACTGCAGTACTTACTGAAAGTCTGCAAACCATGGTAACTGCTAGTCAAACATACCTTGAAGTACTGACACTGTCAGAAGAGGTTTTAATATATAATCTAGTTATGAAATACCTATAACCTCTATGTTCCTAATGGTCTCAGACTTAAGGCTTGCACCCAAGATTTATAGACGAATTATTTCATCAGCTAAGGTCATGTAAAGGTACTATACACTTCTCATTAATTTACTTACTTGTAAAATTAGGGTATTCTGATTTAGGCATTAGCAAAATTATATTTCTACAGCACTTTTAGTCCTGAATACCTATGCAAAATGGGGATGCTGAGTGTTAACAGTGAACATTGCACGGGTGCTGGGCCTACACACCCTGAGCACACTACTTCACAGATGGTGGCACATGAGCTTTTGTGTAGGGGCGGTTTGACAATTCTAAAATTCAGCAGGAGATTACCACAGAGGGCAAGAAAAGAAAGCTTACCAAAACTGTGTCAGAAAAAGAGAACACTGAGTAAGTTCTGCTTTGTGTCACAGTGAGGTATGAGAGAATTAAACTTTTTCAACAGCATAAAACAAAATCAGAAGAAAACAGTACACTGGAAACCTATTTTTCTGGGTATCTAGCAGTCAACAGAAGTCACAACTGACACTACCACTACCAAGATCTATGAAAGTAATTACTTTAACTTACCTGGAACCCAAATATAAAATAGCCACTAACACTTTGCTCTGCAATCACATCCTCCATGGTGCGCAAGGTAGTGCCCAAGTATGAGTTCAGGAGCTGAGTAGGAAGCAGCCCAATTGAAGAAGCCATCAGGTAGTTGGGTAGTGACAAATCTGTAATCTGAGTAAAAAGACAGAGTAAGAAATCGAGCACAGCTCTTACACAGTCTATGTGTACAAACAACCAGACTGCTGCTCCCACAACCATCCCTGCAAAATCAGGAAAGAATTTCTCACATTCCTTCACTGAAACTTAGATTCGCGCTCAGTGGGAAGACAGTATAACAAAACAGTATGTGTCTAGTTTTCATCTGGCCTTTTTAAAGTTAATAGCTTTTATTTCATTTCACCTTGCGTTACACAACATCTCTGTGTAAAAGTCATTAACTAAGGATGCAATTACACTGTTCATTGAAGGGATTTATTTCTGCAGGGTGAATAGAGCCCTTGAATTTATGAGAATTTATTTGTTGGAAGAAATTACTTTATCAAATGCAAAGGTCTAAAGCAAAAATCTATTTGCTTTGGATTTTACACGTATGGCACATAATACAAGAGGTAATTGTTCAAAATGTCACTGTCTTAAACATGATCTTGGCAAACAGAATGGCAATTTGTGTCTGCAAGGGAGGTTATACAGCTCAATAAGACACATATATCTATCAATGATCCCTATGAGCAATACCTATCTATATCTGTACTGATATACATGGGTATCATTAAGATTCTTTACCAAAGGTAGTTTGCATCACATTTCAATTAGTGAACACAACAGTACACATGACTATAGTTTTTGTTCATTTCTCTAGAAAAAACACTACTAATACTTTGATATTTTCCTCTCTATGGTGTGAAATTTCTGTTCTGAGTCATTACGTGGACATATGAGTTTATATGGGTACAAAGTACGCAGTACCAGATAAATTAGTATCAGCAACCATTGGGAAATATTAAATGCAAGAGTCATGAGGTCAAAATATATTTATACAACCAAAAAGAAAACAAGAGGAAACTGAGTTAAAAATGAGTATGAAAATGGTGATCTTGAAAACAAGCAGTCTAACGAATTTTCCAAACAATTCAGTTGATCACATCACAATAAAACAAGATCTAATTAAGAACAGCCCTAGCACTGGGAGCCTACATGGAAATTGTTGACCTTGACAGTTTTGTACAATGTTGAAGACCAGAGAATAGCAGCAATGTTACTCATTTCATCATGCTATTCTTAAAATAAACTTTGGTTACTGTGAAAGTCATAGTGCTGAATTCTCAGAGCTCTGTGCACCATCAGTGGAAAGTTTCTGGGAGGAAGGAAGGGCAATGGAGGAGCAGAATGCAATGAAGCATAAAGATTAAGTTAATTCACTGGGACAAGATCCCATAAACCTATTCCAAACTTCACACTGCAAATCATACTTCCCACAGACTGAAACATACACCAGCACCAAAAATAATATATTTCCCTCTCTATACAAGATTTAGATTTATTATGAAAAAGCATTACATAATTATGACAGAACTTTCCATCTGATCATTGCTTTCAAAAGACTTTTTTTTTAAACATTATCATAATCTGGGCCATGTAATAGGAATGCACAGCCCAAACTTACCATCTTATCAAGGGAATGGAGAAGCTGCTATTAAAAATCTCTGAAATACTAACACAGAGGCAAGATTTGCTAAGTAGGACACTATCATTAAATCTAATGGAGCTGGGAAACTTCCCAAAGATTGTTTTAACATTCCTGGCACCTCTCTTATTTCTGTACATGTATTAAGGACACTTTGGTTGCAGAGCAAAGTGTTTGCACATCTGGATCTGTCCTGAAACAACTGGACCTCCTGAGCCAGGAGAGAGATTTTTTCCAAATGAAGGAGAGACTGCCACTGGATACACTGGACTGCAGCTTGTACTTCCCACTGAAATGAAAGCTAGGAAAAGGGGGAAACATTTTTCAAGATGCCCTTTTAAATCCTGGTTTGTAAGGTTTAGACCAAAGTCTTATTCCTTTTCCCAGAAGGTACAGGAAGCAGACAGCATCCCTGCCTAAGAAACCTGAGAACTCATCAATAAAACTTACCGTTTTTCCTACTTTCCTTTCTAGGATCTTTACCTGCTCTATGAACCTGCCAGACTGGCATCTGCATGGCCAAACTGCCCAATTGTGGCTACCAGAGCTCTGTTTGTAATAGAAGTTCAGGCCAGCAAAAATTAACAGTGAAATCCCAAAGCAAGCATGGATGCAACTGTGTTATGGGCCACTACAGAGTGGCATTTAAATTGTATTTAAATACAATTAAGAACTACCTAACTGCTTTGGTAACAATAGCCAGAAACTCTCCAATTAAGCCTTGGACAGGCTCTGTCCAGTCGCACTTTTGTGTATCCTTTGTGGTCGACACTTTTGGTTCAGGGCTGTCAAAGAATAAACTCTGGTGTCAGGACTTTGTTGGGGGCTCACATGCCTTTGGGGATTGCAACAGATTTATCTCCCCTCAATTTATGAATCCCTGTGTTTTGGATCACTAGGCTTTGTGAGAGAGCTAAGGATAACTCGGATGCTCTACAAAACAAACAAACAAACCAAAACAACAACAAAAAATAGTGAATTAAAAAACCAAACCAGCTATCAACTTTCCAACAAGCAGAGAAAGCATCCTGCATATTCTTGCAAAGCAGGTACCTTTTCTTCAACTGACTTCACTGTGTGCATTTCTGGAACCAGAGATGCACACTTGAACACTCAGATTTCTTAGTCAGATTATTTCTTCCATATGATACCCTCTCAAAGAAGGGGAAAAAAAGAAGCATGAATTCCAATGTAACCTACATCTGGCACTACAAATAACCAGTTTCCACAAATCTCGCTCCATGAATCCACTTATGGGAAGTAGATGATAACCTGCATACCAGGCCTCCTTACAGAAACACCTTCAGAACACCCAGAGCAGCCAAGGGGAGAGGGCTGTGCATGGGCAAACACGTCAGTAAGGCCTATCAGCCCACTCCAGCAGTCCAGGCCACCCTGGCATCCAAGGAGTAACAATCAAGCAAAACCCACTCAAAGAGAAGTATAAACATGCTTTCAGTTAACAAGTTTCTAGGTCTTCCAGAAAGGCAAGGAAATGCATTACCCCACCGCTCTACTATCAGCACTTTCTCAAAGAGCAGCAGAATGACCGTATAAGCAGCAAGATCTTCACGTCTGGCTGGCGAGACTCTAGCAAATTTGTGTTAATTTTCTTCTTGTGATGTTTCAATTAATATGATCCCCTCACTAATCAAATGTTAAGAAGCTCTTCCATCTTTCTCTACACCTCCTGCAATTCAACCTCCCAAAAACCCTCAGCAGACAGTACACGCCACTGAATAAGTGTTTGCAGAAACATTTAATCCCAGCCCTGCAGATGACCCAGCTCACATCAAGGTTATGCCTTGACCTCATGTGTCACTTCCTTCCTTCCTCCTCATTTAAGTATTCTCAGCATCTCCAGTTTACTTATAAGTATCAGCCTTGAAAACATGCACAGACAAGACTGCTAGAAAATTAAAGATGTGTAAGCTTTCTTAAGATCACTGTCTTTTCAGAAGCAACTCTTTCCAAATTCATTGCTGAAGTTGCTAGTGGGGGGAACGCATTTTAAATTTAAAAAGAGTATTAAGTTTTCAAATAAGTGAGATTTCAAAGAAATGACAGCTCGATCTGTGCAGGTATACATAACTTAAACTTGAATCACAGTGAGAAACTGAATTCCCAAATTTGCATGCAACATTTTATTTTTTAGCGATCTAGTACCTCCTGTTAAATGTCCTCAGTAAAAAATTGAGCACACTGTGTTTTATTTGACTATGCTACAAAGAAGTAAATCTGGCTAAATGTAACACAACTAATATTAGCAGGAAACATCCAAGTTACTTGGTATACTCAAGACTCTGGATTCATCTCATTTTCTATCCATTATTTTAACACTGAAACCTTCCACTTGGCATGAAAATTATTTAGCCTGCAGAACAGGGAGAATACAAACAACTGATTTACAGCATCATTTTAATACTGGACTGGCCAAAATACTCTGCTGAATTGTGTTTCCAACAGAATGGTTATGCCAGGAAAGAAATAATTTTAATTTGGTAATTCTCTGTCTGTTCTTCAGATCTAATACTACTCTAAAACATCTGCTGACTTCTTCAATTGACACCCTGAAGCTGTGAACAAGTGAAGCACAACAGTTTTCCCCACTTTAGGAGGGTCACAGTACAGCAGAAGCTTCAACTGCTACACTGCGACCTTGGGCTCCACCAGAGACTGCTCCCAGCTGGACAAGTCTATGCTTCCTCAGTCCTGTAGTAATAAAGGTTAATAAACAAAACAGCAGAGGTTCAGCCGTTCAGTTTCTCACTCTTAACAAGGAAGTGGTTAAAGGATCTGCTTAAAAAGAAATTACAAGTTGCTACAGCTCTTATGGACAAAGATCACAGCTCTGGAGATTAATGCCCCAGTATAGAAAGGTTTATACACAGCAATTTTAGATATTTGACGTGGGTGTTACCCCCCCCCCAGAATTGCATGGATTAATTTTTTCTTAAATAACAAATTTGGTGTCCCACGACCTACTAAAAGCAGCCAGATGATTCTGTCAAAATTAAGCAAGCCTTCAGAAGGGAACAGGATCGGAACAGCAGACAGGGGAGGGAAGGTGTGCTGTAAGAAAGTGGCAGACCAAAACACTTGGTTACTTACATTAAAGACATTCTAAGTTACTGATAAATATTTAAAATATTTCACAATCCCATTTGTTTTGTTTTGATTTCGCCAAGTTAGCAGATACAACTGATGTGTAACACACATCAGTAAACCAGTAAACCAGATCCTTCAGACAAAGCACACGGGAAGCAATGAGGGTCTGAAACTGTCACCATCAGCATGACAGTACTCAAAAAGAATACCCTTTATGTTCTTCTTTACTTTCTCCTTAATGTAAAAACATATTACTGAAGGTAGTAATGAATGTACCAATCTCCATCTAAAAGTAGAAAGAAAAGCAAGACTAACCCTTTTTCAAACTAAAGTTTAAATTAACTTTCAATGGTACACCTCTGGTGTACTGTCCCTTTTCAGGTCTGATGCTACATCTTACTCTTCTGCCCAAAACCTGCGACCTCGATTGTGTGCATGGACTTAACACCCTGTATAGATTGCCAGATGCATGCCATAAACACCAACCACATTGAGCAAGAATTTTAATCTGTCCACTTTTTTCTTTCCAACATGACTACTTATATTAAGTAGTTTAGGAAGATCTGGCAAGACCTTTCCTCCCACTTGGATCACTTTAAAAGCCCAGGCACTCTGTAACCATTGAGTTCTCTGCAGATTTTGCTACACAGCACCTTGGTGCTTCTTTCTAACACCAGAATATGGTCTTGAAAGCCAGAGAGCAATTCTAACACAATGCCACTGAGCAAGGCATCTCAAAAACCTGCCTGCTGTCCCTCCGGCTGCACAGAAGAGCCACTAGAAGGGCAGGCTTTTAATATTGTTAAAAGAGAGAGAAACCATGGTTTGTTCCCAGGAAAGCAGGCAACCTCCACCAGTGACAGCGGCCACTATGCCGAAAGACATCCTTCCAGCCAGTGCCTCTTTCTTTGGCCGCACGGCCCACGCTGGGACTCACCGCGAAGACGGCATTCTGCAGCCCGAAGGGGATCGGCGTCAGCCGCGCCAGAGCCACCACCTTGAGGCCACTGCCGCCCTCCACGACGCGGACGATGGCACTGAGCGTCCCGCTGCCCTGGATCCTGGTCCGTGCCCAGCGGGCCAGCAGCCGCTTGCAGGCCACGTGGGCGACAAAGGTGCCGACGAGGACGCCGAGCACCATGAGCCCCATGCCCATCATGAAGCCGTAGAGGTAACCGGCGGCCACGTTGAGCAGGATGTAGCCCCAGCCGCAGGGGAATGACACGACGATGAAGCCCACGGTGAAGAGCAGCACGCCGGCCAGGCTGTCCAGGCTCTCGGCCCAGAGCAGCAGGTCCCGCAGGTACTGGCGCACCAGGGCCAGCGAGGCGAAGCAGAGGGCGGCCAGGACGCACACGATGAGGCAGCTCTTGCACCAGCAGGTGCCCAAGAGGCAGCAGGAGCAGCGCCAGCCCCGGCCCTCGGCCAGCCCGTGCCCGCCGCCGCCCGCCTCGGGCAGCTGGCAGAGCAGTAGCTCGGCCGGCGGCAGCCCGTCCTGCTCCGCGTAGGGCCCGAGCAGCAGCCCGCCGGCCCCCGCCGCCTCCGCGGGGACGAAGCCGACGGTGTCCCCGCCGCTGCCGGCTCGGGACAGCCAGCGGCCCAGGTCCTGCCGGGCGCCCTGCGCCGCCGCCTGCTTCACGGCCCGGGAGAGGAGCTGCAGCGCCGCGGCCCCCGCGCCCCGCATCCCCCCGCGCCGCCGCGCGGCTCCAGCTCTGCCGAGCCGCGCGGCCCCTTCGCTCCCCGCTTCCCCACGCAGCCTGCGGGCAGGGGCGGCCGCTCCCTCATCGCCCTGCCATGGCCCGGCTGCCGAGCCCGGCCGAGGGCCGGGCGGGGGCGGGGAAGCGGCGGCGGCGGGGAGGGCGGGGAGGAGGGGGCCGCGCTTCGCCGCCGCCCGGCGGGCGG